GAACATACCTGACAAACTCAGTGGGACTAGTGGGCAGCATAGATGACCCAGGTGAAGACTGCAACCATGAATTTATAGTGATCAAAAAATTCAAAGTCAAGTGTTTTTCTTCAGCCGTGTACAAACATCTGAGTATAGGTATAGGATAAAGTTTACTCACAATTGAGATGTGGTTGTGTCTAGGTAATGAAAAGGCCATGAGGCAAAGGAGTTGAAGATATGGAAACAGTATTTGAAGTAATGAGTAATGGAAACTTGTTATGGGGAGGCAAAAAGTGGCAATAGGAGGGGACAGAGATCTGCTCTTTGAACTGTCCTATGCCTCCTGGGTATACTCATATATTAGAGTGAATTCAATTTTCAACCATCACTAAAATTTTATGGCCAATTTTTCTATACCCACACTCAACTTTTATTACTTCTTGCAAGTGATTATGCAAGTAACTGAGAGTAAAAATCCATGACTACCATTTGAAGTAAATGTAAAGGTCATCTGGATAGCTTAGTGACTCTTTACTGAATGCCAGCATCTTTGCATATGTGATTTAAATCTAGGCTCTGGCAACACCATACACTATTCTTGGTCTTGAATATCCAAACTTAAGGAGTAATTAATCTAGGGGTGAGGGGGTCAAGAGTCCTAAAACTGGAAAACTGGAACCTTTACTTATTAGAGAGTCTTGGTGCTGAGGGGAAGAGATCTGTTCCACTAGAACTGAGGGGCTCTTTCTGCCCCTCCTGACACAGTCTGAGAACCAGAGAAGCTGGCCAACTTATTTCTTGAGAAAGAGCCATCTTTGTTCGCCTTAAAATGTTCATAATATTTTAAGTTATTCCTTGTCAGTAATTTAACCTATTTATGGACTTGCCTTATGATTTTTACCTTTTCCAACTGCACCCAGTGCACAAAGAGCCTATTCCAGGATGGACATGGAGATTTTTTCCTAAAAGATAAAACTCAGAATAAGATTTGCAGCTAAAGAAAGTCTTCCTAGAGACAATAAGCTAATAGTCCCAGACAAGTATGAACAGGCATGACACTGCAATGTCAGGATGCAGGGCTTCAAGAGGGTGGAGAATGGAAAACCAAAGAGAAGTGTTTATCTGGAACAAGGAGCAAAAGAATTATGAATGAGGATTTTCTGGTGTGTTTCTAGATTTGCCCAGCAGAGGGAGGTCGCTGGTTGATGGCAGGCTGGTAATAGACTGACTATTTTACTCCTGTCTACTACTCTACCTTGCTGAAATATGGGAGACAAGGTGGTGAAGGTTTTGTCTTAACACCTAGGAGGGCTTTGTTTGTTCTAGTAGCTAGAAGACAGAAACATCAGAAAGAAGCTTTATAAGATTTTCTGCTGTTTGAGGATGCGTGAGCTGTCAGTAGGTCAAACTAGTCATTGTGTTTGTGAATTAATTATATAATAATCTAAACAATGCTACAAATCTTCTTATTAGTTTAAGCCTCTGTCATATTTAATAATGGAGGGCTCTTAATGTTTTCTTTGGATCACAGTCACTAAAATATAAGAGAAAAATGTTATTTGCTTTGGGACTTTTAAATATTTAGCCTAACAGATCTAGCCAACATAGAAATCTGCTGATTAAATACTGGTTCTGTTAGAGTAGTATCAGGCAACCCCCTCGGGTCTCCTCCCACTGTGGGAGATTTTCTGTCTTCTCAATAAATCCTACTTTAAGATAAATACATAAACAAACAAACAAACAAAAAATAATGGTTCTGTCCTTGGCTAATGACTAGAGGGTAAATTAAAGTGAACTGCTAGAAAAACATGACAAAGCTAAGCAATGTTAAAATGGCCACACGTTAATTAAGATTATTTCATTAAATTCATTTTGGCATTTTTACCCTTTCAAACAACATCTGAAGAAAATATAGTCACATGTTAACCTTTATAATCTGGGGTCTGCGTAGGCATAGTTCCATTACATTCATTTTTGTACTTTCCCATCCAAAACCTCTCCCCGGAAAACGCCGTAACTGCAGATGACAGCTCCAAGGATAGCTCTTCCTTAAGCTCTGTACCAGCCTGGCCCCCGCCCTCCTCGGGCTGCCCGCCCCTCCCCATTTCCCGTCCCAGCCCATCTCACGCGCCCAGTTTCTAAACTCCGTTTTTCGCCGGTCGACCCAGGCATGTGGTCTCCATCTCCAGCATCCGTGTATGCCACCAAGATCAGCTCCTTGCCGGGAGCGCTCGCCCTTACAGGAAAGCGAGAGACGCATCCGTGGCATCTAAGGCCTCAGCCCCTCGGCCTGTGAGAAAGTTCCCAGGCCCACACCACGCCTGGTGTGGGGAGCGATCTGTCTGGTGAAAGGACGCTGGGTCTGAGAGGAGAGAGTCCGCCAATCAGAGGCGCCAGGAAACAAGCCTCTTGTGGGGCGCCCAGGCCAACTGGAGGATGCAGAGGGCGCTGGTACCCGCACAGCTAAGAGGCTAGACTTGCGCTGCGGGCGGGGCTGC